GGAAACACTAATTAAAACTCTTAAAACCCCAAAAGTAACACCGTTTGAAAGTAAGTAATACTGGATAACTTGGAATAACTAAGTGAAACATTGCCACGATTTGGTGGCACACACATGAGAAAATGACGGCGCACGTGTGGTTTTTTAGCGGGAAATTGAATTCTTTCGCAGGAGAGTGTAATTTTTCGGAGGAAAGTTGAAAATTTTCGCAGGAGAATACAAAATTTTGTCAAAGAAAGCTTTCACTTTCACTTACAAACTCTCTCTCTCTCCTCTCTCATCTCTCTCAAAGAACTCTCTCATCCTCTCCTCTCCCTTTCTCTCTTAAAATCGATCTCTCCTCTCTCTCTCACACGATCCAAATGGATTCAGATTGTAGCTATCACTACACAGACAATTTCCTCATCGACCCATATGAGGAGGAGTTGAAGGAAGAGAAGAGGCGCCGCAAGGAAATGGAGAAGATGAAGCAGCATTGGGACATGGTTGGATTCGTCGCCGACAGCCAATATGGGATTCCGAGAAGATGCCCATGTGGTGGATATATCAAGCACGATGTATCTCTTTCTCTAGAATTTAAACGCGATTTCGATACTCAACCAGGTAGTAGGTACTTCACCTGCACCAAATTTAAGGTATAATCTTAGATCTGGGTTTTTTTCTGGGTAAAACTAGTAAAACTAGGTCAAACTATTTAGATGTTCTTCGGGTGTAAAATTTGGAATACTAGGTATAACTATAATGGATGTTGCTCGTTTTTTTTGCCAGGATGATGGACTCCACTTTCGCCAGCCATGGATTTTCGGAGTCGAACAAGAGATTGAGAAGTTAGTTACGAAAGTTGAAGAGCAGAGCAAGAAGATTGAAGAAATGTGAAAACAGATTCAGATCCAAGCTGAAGAGATAGCCAAGCTCAATGTTGCTCAAGACTAATGTTCCATTTTGCTTGTATTTTCTTAAGTTATCAGTTGCTCTACTTTATGTTAATGTTCTACTAATATTACTAATGTTTTCTTAAGTTTTCTTAGTAATACACTATTTTTCTTTAAAGTAGTTCAATTTCGATATAAATGCTAGTTTTAGGTTAATAATAACACAAAAGCCATCATATAAACGTAGTACACAAAAGGAAGCAAAAGCAAACTTCTGATCACGTTTCACAAAGCCAAGTCATCATAAACATAAACGTAGTTTTACCCAATCTTACTAGTATTACAAAAAAATATCCTGATAACATGTTTCAGTCCTCTTCCTATTGCTTCTTACTCTGCCTCGTTAGTCTCTTTTCAAGCTTGATGGAAACCTGGGGACGTTTCTTTCCCCGCTTATTAGGTTCACCCTTTCCCTCTGGTTCCTTCTCTCCTTCCTCCCCTCCTTCCTTCTCACCATCAGGCCTTGCTAGTTTTCTTCTTTTGTAAGTCTTCGGCAGCTTTTCTTGTTCCTGCAATGACAATAAAGATTTAATTATTATCATTGCTAACACGGCTTCCAATTCTTATCAGAACGGAAAGATAGCTCACACGCAATGTTCTAGTCCTCGTAATGAACTTCACCTTCTGATCTCCTACCTTCCTCACCGAGCTACATCTCTCCAATGAAATCACAGATTTTTTTGACTTTTCTACTGCAACATGCACATTAGCTGCTGGTTCCGCAGACGGAGTAGCCAACAACGTCTTCTTCTCTGCTATTTGAGAAGTCTCTTTCGGTGTCTCTTTAGCAGATTTCGACTGCAAAGCAAAAATACATAGTTATACTAGTGTTACCAAATACTACTTTTTGTTTTCTAATCTCAAATCAAAGTGTTACCTTCTCTTCTTCATCCGTAACCACAACACCTGTTTCCAGAGTTGCTGCTGGATCTTCAGACGGAGTAACCATCGTCGTCTCCTCCTCTGCTATTTGACAAGACTCCTGTGGTGTCTATTCAGCAGATTTAGCCTGCAAAGCAAAAACACATAGTTATACCAGTGTTACCAAATACTACTTTTTGTTTTCAAACTCGAATCAAAGTGTTACCTTCTCCTCTTCATCCGTAACCACAACACCTGTTTCCAGAGTTGCTGCTGGATCTTCAGACGGAGTAAGCATCGTCGTCTCCTCCTCTGCTATTTGACAAGTCTCCTGTGGTGTCTCTTCAGCAGATTTAGCCTGCAAATCAAAAACACATAGTTATACTAGTGTTACCGAATACTACTTTTTGTTTTCAAACTCAAATCAAAGTGTTACCTTCTCCTCTTCATCCGTAACCACAACACCTGTTTCCAGAGTTGCTGCTGGTTCTGCAGACGGAGTAGTTATCGACGTCTCCTGTGTTTGCTCTTCAGCAGATTTCGCCTGCAAAGCAAAAACACTTAGTTATACTAGTGTTACCGAATACTACTTTTTGTTTTCTAATCTCAAATCAAAGTGTTACCTTCTCCTTGCCTAAGGCTTCTCCAACTTGAGATTTCTCCACCATTTTTTCAGGTTCATTATACTGGTTATCCATGTCTTCAAATGACCTCCTCCCCTCTAATTGTTCCTTCACATATTCTTCCACTGCTACAAGTCTTGTGTTAAATTCTCCAATCTTCTCCTTGATCTCTTTGAACCCTTTGTCCATCGCAAGCTCCAGCCTAACTACCATACTAATAGTGGCTGCATTCTCCCCATGGATGAACTTGGCCGGATTCTCCTCATACTCGAATACAGCTTTCTTCTTCTTGCACTTTTCCTTGGTTGCATTTTCCTCGTTCTCTACCTCCAGGGGTTCCACATGCTCCTCACCTTCCTCTTCTTCTCAGAAAGCCATGTCATCATTGTACATTTTCTGAAAACAAATCGCTTTGTCTTTAGAGATAAGCTTCATCCAACCATCAACGACGACATCATATACATCCTCCTCATCTATATCTTCCAATATTCCATCTACAAGAGATTGCTCTTCAGCAGATGAGTGAATATCCTGTAAGTACAATAAAGTTTAGATTTCTAGTGTAGATTAAACATAAATCATCAATTTGCAAATGATAACTAAGTTTAAATTTCTAACCTTAGTTCTACCAAGTGCTTCATATATTTCCGAAAGAGGAAATCCTTTCATAGCATATGACTTGAACTTGCTCTTACACATGCAAGGGCAGCTCTTCTCTGCGCCTCTATGGTCTTCTCGAAAAGTCTTCTTCAACACTGAAGTTGCCTCAAAGGCTAGCATCTGCACATAATACATATAATTCGATACTTAGACAATATCTCTCAATTAATAATTAGGAATAAGCGAATAAAGGTGCAATGAATAATCTTTACCTCCAAAGAAGTACAAAAACTTGGAAACTTGCATGTTCTATCGACGACCCCTTTATAATCAACCATTGCTTTCTGGATATCTTTCAAATTCTCATCAAACGAGAATCTCCCCCAAGGAAAAGTCTTACAGAGCTCAAGATCATCCACAGCTCTTATGAAGAACTTCTCAACCGAGGGTGCTCCCGCTCCAGTTTTTTCCTTCCCTACTATGACGCTACATAGGAAGTACAACACACACATCTTCAACCTATCTGGATGTGGTTTCTTCATCTTCAACAGCTTTTCATACACTTTTGCATAAGTGATTGTTGTTCTTCTGCCAAACTGTCTTTCAGCGAATTTCATACCCCCAGTTGGCTATAGTTTTCTGGATAGAGATGACAATCTAATCCAGAAATCAGAGCGTGTTCTTTGAGAGAATACCTAATTGGGACACCATTCACAATGAACCAAGCCTCCCTTCTCTTCTCAACTTCAGACGTTCGAAGCAGGAGCATCCACATGCCCATAACCTTGTGGTTTGAGTCGTCATACATATGGAAGAAATACTTGAATTGTGGGTGGTTGTGAAACCAATTCCTCTCTTCAATGGTAAGATTCAAAGAATTTATCGTATTAACCGCCTTGTGAATGTTACACCTGGTCGATATCTTCACCTGTTTCTTGTACTCAGTCAGATTAAAGTACATCCGCATAGGTTGCATTGGTTCCGTTTCAATCGAATCCTGCAACTGATTCAAGTTTTACCAAGTGTTACTTTAATTTTTAGAAATACTATGAGCAACTGATTCAAGTTTTACCAAGTGTTACTTTTGTTTTTAGAAATTCTATGACTTTTAAAAAGTTTTACAACGTACTACATACTTGTTTAAACAATATTTCATCTAACTACATACCGTAGGGTTCTCCTCATCATTAGAGTTCGTCATGGTTCTGACCAATCCGGTTCTGAGGCTGCTTCCTTCGCCAAGATTCTGATGCTGCTTGCTTCTTGTTCTTGACGGATCCACACTTACTCCTACAATCGCACAAGAAGTTCGTAACTATTAAGGCATCAATAGAGAGAAGCCAATGGATAAATAAAATGAGAGTCCATGATAATGAAAATTATTGAATTGCAAAAGAAAATCCAGTTTATATATTTCCTTAATTCATGTCTCTTCTCGATCAACATATTAGAGGAGAAACAATAGGGAAATTTCGGAATTCAACATACCTTTAGACGCCATTGTTATCTCGCTTGGAATTCAGCGAAAGAGGAGAGTGAGAGTTGAAGAATTCAGAGAGTAAAGTGATTAAGGGGGGAAGAGAAGAAGAGGAGAAGGAATTCGGAGGAGAAAGAGGAGGAAGATGATACGAAATTGGCGAATATTAAGACGAATGGTCCGTCAACTGACTTGAATTTAGCGATGAATGTATCTGTTCAGTTTCGCACCCGATGGTTTGAACTGGAAACTAAAAAGAGTGTAAGATTTTGAAGGTTTTAATCGATCCAAGTTGTCGGAGTTGGATTGATTTCGAATTTGGATTTTTTATGAGTGAATTAGATCCAATTGAATAATGGTTGGGTTTGTAATTAATTGAAATTGAAAAAGAAAATAAAATAAATCAATAAAATTTAGCATTAAAATAATTAGATAAATATATGAGTTTTATAAAGATGGCAATAGGGATTTTCTTTTGAAAGAGAAGGGTAAGCCAGCCATTGTTTCAGAAGAGTCGAGAAGAAGAAGCTTTAAGCTAGCCTCTTCCGTAAGCCCACGCCGTGAATTTGAACCGGAAACTTCTTGATTCTCGGGAGATGAGAGCTCCGGGTGAAAGCGAAGACGCCGTCGTGATCCAAAAGGCGAAGAAGGCGGGAGAGGCGCATGTTATCACCGTGAATTGCCCTGACAGGACCGGTTTAGGGTGTGACATTTGCAGAATCATCCTCGAATTCGGGCTTTATATCGAAAAAGGAGGTAAGATCCTTCCAGAAATGAGTCGATAATCTTTGAATCGCTTAGGAATTTGCTTACAATCCTTGATTTTTTGTCTTGAGGTTTCAGCTTGTGCAATGGTCGAGAGAATCGAATCTGATTGTTTCGTTTTCGTTTTGGTGTATAGATGTTACAACCGATGGAGTATGGTGCTACATAGTTTTGTGGGTGGTTCCTCATTATGAATCTCTGATATTGAGATGGTCACATTTGAAGAACCAGCTTGTATCTGTATGCCCATCTTGCTCCACCTACTTCGTTCTCAATCTGATGTCTCCTTTTCCTGCATCATCAACACCTGTTTACTTGCTGAAGTTCTTCTGCCTAGACCGGAGAGGACTCTTACACGGTACTTATTGTCTCATGGGTTTTTGATTTCTCTTATGAATGTCAATTCTCGAATGTGTGAGGAAGAGATCTGTTTGCAGATGTTACTCAAGTACTAATTGAGCTTGAGCTCTCAATTCAAACCGTGAAGGTCACTACTACACCAGATGAGAGAGTTTTGGATCTTTTCTTCATAACAGATAACATGTGAGTGAGTGAGTGAGTGAGTGACAATCTGCTCTTAAGTCTTTTGAATCTAGCGTGAATAATGATGATTTCTTGTATTGTTTCTCTGCTAGGGATCTTTTACACACGAAAAAGCGCCAAGACGAGACACTAGAGCATTTTCGTTCTGTCTTAGGAGAATCATGTATAAGCTGTGAGCTCGAGTTGGCTGGTCCTGAGTTTGAATGTCATCAGAATATTCCATCTCTTTCTCCAGCAGTAGCTCAAGAGTTGTTTACGCAGCACACCGATGAAGATAGTCGCGCACAGGTTCTTAGTGATGATATGATAAAGCTGAAGAATTCCACAAATATCACAGTTGACAACTCCTTGAGCCCAGCTCACACATTACTCCAAATACGCTGCGTTGATCACAGAGGCCTTCTCTACGATGTATTACGAACCTTGAAAGACTTTGACATTAAGGTAATGGCAAAACTGACATGCATGTTTTGTCATAATATAACGGGCTTTCTTTGTGACATCTCTGTTTCTGCAGATATCTTATGGCAGGTTCTTGCCTCAAACACAAGGTCAACGGGATCTAGAGCTATTTGTTCAGCTGAAAGATGAGAAGAAGATCTTGGATCCTGATAAACAAAACTCGTTATCTTCACGTCTGAAAGCTGAAATGCTTCATCCTTTACGGGTCATAATAGCAAACAGAGGACCAGACACTGAGATTTTGGTTGCCAATCCAGTTGAGCTATCCGGGAAAGGCCGGCCGAGAGTGTTCTATGACGTTACCCTTTCGCTAAAAGTGCTTGGGATCTGCGTTTTCTCGGTAAGAAACAAAATCTATTCACAGAATGTTTCAGAATCAGGTGAGATTCTGACTCTGTGTTGTCTTTTTGATTCTTTATCTTCTCAGGCTGAAATAAGAAGATACACGGCTAGTGAGCGAGAATGGGAAGTGTACAGGTTTCTTCTGGATGAGAACTGTTTGTTCGAGCTCGGAAGCGATTCTGCTAGGAATGAGATTGCTAATAAAGTGAGACGAACATTGATGGGTTGGTGAATCCACGACATGTACAGGTAGGTAAATTTGTACTGCTATGTGACTTTATATCATCATCTATGGTATGTCTTTAGTTGTGTCTTGTTGCTTTTAGGTTCATATAAATGGTTGGTAAATCAACATAAGCTAATCCTTAATAATGATCGGCTTTAGTAATAGATCTTGTGTTTTTGTATATCTTGGTTTTAACAAGCTTCCACAAATCGGAACTATAATCTTAATAAGGCAATCACCATGATCTTTTAGGTTTATCAACTTAAACACCAAGGGACAAAAGATAAATGTTGTGATCAACTTGGATCTTAAAAGAAACTATAATCTTGTGATTTTGCTCTCCCACATATATCATAACTAAAAAAAATAATAATAATAAAAATATGGAGTTTGGGTGGAGCAATCACTAGCATTAGAGCATGTTCCATGTAAAATTACCATGAAGAGTTCTTGTTTAATATTTGATTATAAAGTTTAATTTAAGAACTCTTGTTAAAATAATTTTGTTTTCTCTACTCCAATACTAGAATCCCATTAAAAATTCTATAAAAAAAATGTAAGTAGAGTTTATTTTTTTTAAAATAAAACATAAAATATATTGAATTGAATTAAATTTGAAGCATGACATAAAAACATTTTAAACATAGATTTTGAAATAATAAAAAGAAAAGAACGTTCAGTTGTTATTTTGGCCACATCCAAATTTTTGCCATATATGTTCAATCAAATCAGCTTTCAATTGTTGATGCATTTGTCTATCACGAACTCTAATTTGAACACGTAACATATTAACGAGATTTGTAGGTATATCTGTAGAATACGTGAAATCTACATGTGAATTTCCGTTTCCTTCTCCTTATTAGAATTCTGATACATCAAATTGAGTGTATCCATCTCGTTCGTCTTCCACTATCATATTGTGGTGTATGATATATGCTCTCATAATTTTTCCTATTTTTGCTATATTCCAAAAAAAGCTGGGTTTTTAACAATGACAAATCGAGCTTACAAGATTCCAAAAGCACACTTGACATCTTTTCAGGTAGCTTCTTGATGTTGAGCAAATAAAGATGCTTTCGGGCCTTGTGGAATTAGAATAGATTAGATAAAAGTTGTCCATTTCGGATAAATACCATTTGTGAGATAGTAAGCCAAATGATACTCCCTTCCGTTGATAGAGAAATTCACTTGCGGAGTTTGACCTTTTATAATATCATAAAAAACGGGTGAGCGATCAAAAACATTGATATCATTTAAGGTACATGGAGGCCTAAAAAACGCGTGCCATATCTAGAGATCATATGAAGTTACGATTGTGGATTTTCTAAAACAACGTGAATATTATCTTTTCCAAGCGGTCGGGCAATTCTTCAACTCCAAATGCATACAATCGATGCTTCCTACGATCCCAAGAAATCCGCGTTGCTCTCCAATATCAAATAGGTGTTGTAGATCCTCCGGTGTGGATCTTCTTAGGTACTAATCACCAAACAAAGATATTATTTCTTCGATAAAATTTTCCAAACATGAACGAGCAGTACTTGTATCGAGCCGGAGGTATTCGTCAACTTCATCAGCCACAATACCATATGCCAAGAGACGAATTGCTGTTGTACACTTTTGAAGTCCAGAGAGACTAGGCCTTTCGAGAGCATTTTTATTTTATTGAAAGAATCGAACTGTATTGGAGAGTCGATCAACAATATGTAAAAACAATGACTTGTTAATACTAAAACGTTGTCGGAATAAATTAGCAGGGTATGTTGCAGCTTCACTGAAATAATTGTTCCATAAACGCATTTGGCCTTCTTCGTGACCTCTTTTGATAAAAAAACTCATTTTTTCTTTGACTCTTTTGCCTTCTGATGATCACAATAATCAATGAACAGATTTTTGAACGTTTCATTGAATATTTGATCAAAATTTTCATCAGTTAACGGATCAAGTAGTTGTTGAAGATCAATTGATAAAAAATTTGATCAAATATTCGATCAAACGTTCGAGAATCTGTTCATTGATTATGGTGATCATTAGGAGGCAAAAGAGTCAAAGGAAAAAGAGTTTTTATCGAAAGAGATCGCGAAGAAGGCCACATGCATTTATGCAATAAATATTCCAGTGAAACTGCAACATACCTTGCTAATTTATTTCGGCGACGTTTTAGAATGAACAAGCCATTGTTCTTGCATATTGTTGATTGACTCTCCAATGAAGTTCAATTTTTTGGACAAAAAAAAGATGCTCCCAGAAGGCCTGGTCTCTCTGGACTTCAAAAGTGTACAGCAGCAATTCATCTCTAGGCATATGGTAATGCGACTGATGCGGTTGACGAATACCTCCGGCTCGGTGCAAGTACTGCTTGTTCATGTTTAGAAAATTTTATCGAAGGTATAATATCTTTGTTCGGCGATGAGTACCTAAAGAGAATCACACCAGAGGATCTTCAACGACTACTTGATATTGTAGAGCAACGCGGATTTTCTAGGATGGTAGGAAGCATCGAATGTATGCATTGGGAGTGGAAGAATTGCCCTACTGCTTGGAAAGGGCAATACTCACGTGGTTCTGGAAAACCCACAATCGTTTTAGAGGCGGTAGCTTCATATGATATCTGGATGTGGCACACGTTATCTGGGCCTCCAAGTACCTTAAGTGATATCAATGTTCTTGATCGCTCACCTGCTTTGGATGATATAATAAAAGGTCAAGGTCCACAAGTAGATTTCTCTATCAACAGAAAGGAGTATCATTTGGCTTACTATCTCACATATGATATTTATCCGAAATGAGCAACTTTTATCCAATCTATTCCAATTCCACAGGGCCCGAAAGCATCTTTATTTGCTCAACATCGAGAACCTACCTTAAAAGATGTCGAGGGTGCTTTTAGAGTCTTGCAAGCTCGATTTGCCATTGTTAAAACCCATCTCTTTTTTGGGATAAAACAAAAATATGTTAGATTATGAGAGTATGCATCATATTCCACAATATGATAGTAGAAGATGAATGAGATGAATACACTCAATTTGATGTATCATAATTCCAATAAGGAGAAGGAAACAGAAGTTCACATATGGATCTCACGTATTCTTCAGATATGCCTACAAATTTCGCTAATATGTTGGGTGTTCGAACTGGTGTTCGGGATAGACAAGTGCATCAACAATTGAAAGCTGATTTGGTTGAATATATATGGCAAAAATTTGGACGTGTCAAGATAACAACTGAGCGTCTCCTTTCCGTTTATTATTTCAATTATATGGTTAAAATGTTTTTATGTTAAATATGTTTCAAATTTCATTCAATGTAATATATTTGATGTTTTATTAAAAAGGTAAAATCTACTTACAATAAAGCTACCATTGGAATAGAAGAAACAAAATTATTTTAACTAAGATTCTTAATATAAATTTTATAATTAAATATTAAGCAAAAACATATCATCGAAGGATCTCTTAGTGATTTCACTAAGACTGATTTCACTCAAGTTGAATTCCGATTGAAGGCCATTCTCCACTCCTTGTTCTAAGGCTTTTTAAGGTTTTGAATCTTGGAACATGTAAAAAAATAGTAGTTTTTGGCATTTGGTACTTTAAAGTTTGGTGAAATTTACGTTCACACTAACCTTAAACTAACTCGGTTTGATTATATGGTGGTTAAAACTTCGGATTGCTTCACATTTACTAATTAAGGGGTTAATGAAACTTTAAAATACAACTTTAATGAGTAATTGTAAACGATGGTGTCAAATGTTTCGAAAATTAGGTTCTCTTTTGTCATTATTTCAGTCGCACTATTCCGAAACCAAATGACCATACAATCCCTATATACTGTCTTAGTGACAAACAATTCCGGGCGTGTGTGGCCAACATTTATCCCCAATGCTTGAATCACGTGTTAGAAGATTTTTAGTTGGATTTTATTTCAAAACAGAAAACCAACCTTGTTTCAGAGTTCGGATTGTTCCTTCTTTGCCATCAACTGGAAATAATTAAAGGTAAATAGATCTGGTTCATATTCCAGAATATGTGTCATATAACATACTATCGTTATTAAATACTAGTTAATTATATCAGTACACTGTTAAGATGATTACTGTGTTAGCGATACCAATTAATACTTACAGATATAAAACGACATTGTTAATTCTAACAGTATTGTCACAATTATTTCGTACCATTAAACACTATTACCTTGTTCGCTAATTGCTAACATAATTAAATGATAAAAAATTGTAACGATAGGTATGTATTTTTAAGGGATAAAAAACTTCATTTCCAAGATTTTCATTGTCACAATGATATCATGCTACTGTTGTTTGTTGTTCGTTAACTAGTTAATTATACCATATTAGATAACAAAGACGTTACTTTGTTAACGACATCAATCATTACAAACTGATAATAATAAGACATTGTTAATACTCAAGTTATCATTAAAATCTGCTTTTGTTGCTAATGGTATGGTTAGTAGTTACTTAACAATTTGCCATCGTTATAACGTGTCCCTTCACTAATCACCGATAACAATATTAGTTAGTCAACTTTACAATTACCCGTATTTATTATTCGGTATCCTATAACTATGTGCTTATCATATTATAATTTTATTGTACATTATTAGATACAAGATTTTCATTGTCACAACATTTTCACATGCAATATATCAATTATGGAACTGTCGGCCTTACCTGAGGAATGGTTCTCGGATGTTCTCAAGGATTTTCCATTTCAAGAACGACCACATAATTCTGAAGGATCTCCAACCTATCTCGGAAATGCTACCGTACATGTTTAGGCAGATTGCTGCTAAGTAACTTGACAATAATCATCTTTCCCATCACTCCTCTAACCATTGAACATGTTGTGGGTGTTCTGTAATGTAAGTCTCCTTCTGATGCCGGCCTACACTCAAATTTGATGATACAAACTGTGGTAGCCCGACCGGGCAAACTATACCGCAGCCGTACCTTTGTACATTCTAACTGTTCGGTTTCTATACGTAAC